GGGGGCGATGGCGGCGGGCCTGTGCCAGCCCCGCGGGACTGAGGTGGCGGCGGGGGAGATGCCGCGCTGACGGAAACCCGAGTGACAGCTTCAGCCAGGGTAAGGGTTTTTGCATGTCTGTAGGAAAAACAAACCAGCAGTGACGCGAATTCACGCTCTGAGCGCTAGCGCTGGCCCGCTCCTACCTTAGTTTGCTTAAAATTCCGGTTTCAGTAAACCTGGCAACTCCACCTTGCGTTCTGTGAGGAAAATCTGCTTAACAATGCAATAGAAAAACTAGTACAGGATGGTAACATTTTCCTTATCGTACAGCGAGATGAAAGCAGTGGTCTGTATAGAAAGTCTTAGAAAAAGCGCGCGTTCATGTTTCTAAACCAAAGCAATTCCTACCTAATGCTCTGTAACTAGAAAAACAAATTAAAATTGTGACCATGCAAAGGCAGCAGGACATCAGAGGTGTTGATGAGGCCAAGTCCACAGAGCTGTTTAGTTTCCAGCATGGGGTGTTTAATCCGCACGGCCCAACCGCCCCCCGTGCTCCTCACACGAACAAATCAGCGCCCCAAGGGGGAACGTGGGGCCGGGTTTTGAGATCTTCTGTCAGAAAAAGCTTTGAGTGCTGCTGTATAACTGAGTTTCGGAAGTTAATTTTGTCCTGTCTGGGGCACACTCCAAACGAGGGAGGAGAATATGCTGTTCACTGGAGTGCCAGCAAGCACACCTACACCAAAGGGAACCACAAGGTAGGGAAATGCCTTCTGGGGACCATCAGGCAGCACAGGTCAGCTCCCCAAATCGTATTCCCAGCGTAGTGACACTGCACTGCTGTTAATACAGTAGGCAGCTGAAGGGATTGACTATGCATACTGAGGAAAAAACCACAAGGACTACTCAAGGATTCCAGAATTGCCGTAACAGCACGTCTTCAGTTATTTCTAGCAAGATACAGTTGGCATAATAATCATGTCTATGTACAGTAAAAAAAAAAAAATCCATCACACCTCTGTTTGTGTGACAAAGTGTGATAAAACTGGGCCACAGTATTCTTCCTGTAGATGGACATTCACACAGCTACAGGCACAGCAAAAATACCTGAAAGCCAAACCAAAGGAAGACAGTGACACGGATACTTTCCATCGATACTTCAAACTAATTACCTTGAGCATCCTTGACACTGAACGACTTGTACTCCTTCACTCACAGACTGCACCACAGGCTCTTCAATTAGAAGCAGGACTCTGCTTCAAGATCCTGCACTTGGACTTCCAAAGACCAGTGCTAGGATGGCTGCCTGTTGAATGCCAAGCCACAGCCAGAGAGGTGAAATGTAGCAACAGCGGGACGGAGATTTTTACATCTATTGGGGAAAAACCTTGTGCTGACAATTAATATTTCTATGATACTAAGTGATTTAGAGCATGATAGAAATTCTGCACTCAAAAACTGTTAAATACAGAGGTCACAGTACCAAGCTCATGCATTAACTTCAATATGATGAACCAGAAGCAGCAGTGATGACAGCTCATAAAAAAAACTGGCAAGCATAAGATGGAATGACTTTTACAAAAAGGTGTTGAAAAACAATAGGATGTTAAATGAAGATACAGGATTACCTACAATAAAATTGATCAGCATCTTGGGAACACTGCTGAAGGCTAAATTCCAACCATCAACATCAGCTGGCTCTTCAAGCCAGCTTCCAGCCAGATGGCAGGGTACCACACAGTGGGGTAGTGCACCACCACGGGCTTACTGGAAGAACAAACCCCAAGGCAGGACTGAATAACAGTGCTGGCTGACAGAGATGCTCTGGAGGGACAAACAATGCCAGTGACAGGAGAAAAGTTTGAGTCAGCTGGAACTAATTTTCTCAAATTCCCTCTCAGTTTGTATCACCTAAATATTACATTTTAGCTAGAAGTGGTACATGATATTTATCTCAATTAATCAAATACATTATTCTGGTTTTATTTATAAGAAAGGACTGATGGACTTGCGGGAGTTCTTTCAATTAATTTTATTGAGTAGCCAAATCTGATAAATTAGCACAGATAAAATAAGCATTTGCATGTGTTACAAATGACTTTTTACAGGAATAAAACAGTGAAAATTACAAACTGTAAAAAGGAGGACAAGTAAATCCTGTCTCAAATTCAGAAGGGGGAAGATTTATAACTTCATACTGAAGATCAAATGTTTGAGTTCAGAAAACAAAGATTTAATATTACAATATCATACACGACTTTACAAAATTAAATTTACTATAAGGATTGCATCCATAATAGTAAACAGAACCTTAAAATCACATTTAATGGTCCCTTATTTAACAGCCATTCTGCATCTTTGATTAAATTCTGTTAAGAAGTCTAAATAAAAGTGAATCATTCTAGTTATTGCAACAGTCTATGTGGACTTAGACTCAAATATATTAAATTAAAAACAATAATGAAAGCAAAGTAAAATGGATGGTAACAATGTTGGCTGAACACTAATGTGTCAAATACAGAAATAGTTTTAAAAAAAAGTCTTCAACTAGAAAAATAGAGTACATTTGCAGTGGTAGAGTTGTCGTGCTGAGATCCAAGTACCAGAGCCACTCTTGCCTATTTTTGTAGTTTATCTTCAGTGTCCTCATTTTTCAGTTGTAGGTAAAAATGACACATCATAGGTAGTTTGGGTGTTCGTCTGTCCTGTATTGCACTTACAGCAATACAAGGTGAACCAGCAGGCCTTTCCCACTGCGAGGGAACAAACTAACAAAGTTCTGTACAGAATTTCTTACAAAGTGAACTTCAAGAGGGCTCATCTGATTCTTGTTTACAATGTTTTGCTCTGTAAAGCTTAGGGACTCTAATTCAAAGTTGTTATTTGCCACGAAGACTGACATCTTTAGCCATTAGTCTGGTGTACATAAAGCAATGAAGCGACCTCCAATGTTTGTTTTTAAAAAAAATAAGGGATATAGTAGCAAAATACAGTCATAGTAAGAAACAGACTTTGGGTGTGCTGTTAGATGCAAGGATGATTTTCAACATCTGAGTGATATATCTAAAACACAAGTTTTAAGTCATAACCTATGCAAGTGCATAGCTTCCATTTATGATTTAAAGAAAAGACCCAATTCCCCCAGAAAAAAAAAAAATCACTGTCAAAACTTAAAAAACCTCTTCACTATGACTAGAAACTGTGCAATTCTCCAAAAAGCTGTTCAAGTAAATATACTCCTGTTTGCTATGGAGACAGCAGACAGGGAAGCTTAAATTGGCTCTATAATAGTCTTTTCATCCTATTTTAGACATTAATCTGAACTTCAGCTTCTTGTGCTCAAGCGACAAGAACGATTTCCCCAGAGAAACTCCTCCCCCGAAGTAAGGCAACTCCTGACAATCACGTGCAGCTACAGCCTGAAATGGTAGCAAATGATTGCCCTACGATGTCCTTTGACAGTTGTATCACAAAATGTAAGCTAAGTAGCCTAATCACAGTACACGTTTGACCACTCACAAGTGTTTTACCTGTTCAAGTTACTTGCCCCAGGAATTACGTTTTGCAAGACCTTTAAGATTACCACTGTTAAAGAAAAAAGCAAACCAAGATTTTTCCATATGAAATACTTCCACAGGCATAGCGATATAGTAACTTAAATACTCTTTACCTTGGCAGCTATCAATGATAGCTTAATCTCCAAAACAGAACAATTATCAATACATTTTTATAAAATGATTTAAATATTTTTGTATATAAAATTTCACTTCACGTTCAATGTCAGCTTCTATCTGTAGCTCTGGCAGGGATCTGAGAATATATTTAAAGCTTTTATTTGGTGCACACTGGCTTTGGACCTAGGCTCATTACACAGCTGCAGTAAAAAAAAAATTTTTGAAAGCTTCAAGCATGTCTCAAACCATAAACAAATGTTCAAACGCAATACAATATTTTTGTCTTTGGAAAAATAATTTCCAATTTTAATGTCAGAATATTCGATGTTATCTCAAAACATTAGGTTTGAAGTGCTGTCATACAAATTCGCTTCAGAAACACGCTAGATTTTAGGGGCCTAACATTCAGTTAACGTAAACAAGAGCCAGAAGTCTACCAAATGTAAACCAAAAAAATCTGAGATAACCTTCCTTCCCCTCCCACAGTATTCACAAACTGAAATTAAAACTATTCCTTTCACTGAAGAAAAACAAAGCTTGCCATCTACCTAAGTCTACTTTTGCTGCTGACTCAGCCACTGACTTTTTAAAATGTGTCTCCTACAGGGCCCGCTCCTCTCCGCTCTCTTTTTTTTTTTTTTTTAAATTAGAATACTGACTTATTAAAAGCTTTAACAAATTCAGCCATCTTGTCCGGGTTAAGCTTACCTTTAGTCCTATTAGGCATAATCCAAACCAAGCACTGGATTCTACGCTTCAGAAAGTATTTGTTCGTTTCACAATGAACAGTTGTTTCATTGCTACTTTAAGCATTAAGTTGAACACTGAGATGCTCTGTCTGTAATCACTGGATGCACTTAGAAAGAATTTCCCTGCAAATCATGATCAGTAATTGTGAGGTTTTATATCTAGCAGCAAAAAAAAAAAAAAAAAAAAAAAAAATG